GGGGGGGGGTTTGGAGTGAGGAAGGTAATTCTTCGTCCCTTCCAGTGTGGCCACTTGGACAGGAAGTAAATGCGAAACTTAGAAAAACAATCTTGGCTGGAGCTGGACTTTAAAAATGCACAAAGGTGTAAAAACAAATGTATCCATCTTGTTATAAATAATCTCCACAATCTTATCTTCTTACCAATACTCCCAAATACAAATCCTCCTCCATGGATGAACACAACTCCCTTTCTGTCCCCAGCAGAGGGCAGTCTGGGCTGGTAGAGTCTCACCGGCACGCCTTCAAATGTCAAGTTTTTCATGCTGAGCTCCGGGTCGTTCTCCAGTCTCCGCTTACCCAGCTGGACCATAAAACGAAAGAGTGTGATCTCGCGGCATATTCCAAATCTCTCCAGCGTCTTCCCCTAATCCAAGGAGAGACACATGCAAAAAATAAAAACTGGAAAACCTCCCTATAACCTGCAAGGTATTGTATTTATCTATAAAAGAGGACATGTTTTCTAGTTGCCTGGCTCTCACGCTGATCCTTTGGCTTCAGTTTTCCAAATTGGGGGGGGGGGCAGTCAGCAATACCAACAGAAGTTGATTTTTCAATCGACTTATGACAAACGAGTCGGGTGGAAAACTGTCAGCCAATCAGATGCAGTCACTGTTCGGGTATACTGCATCTCCCCTGCATTAGCCGGCAGGGGAGATTCCTTCATCCAGGATGCTTATATATTACTATGAACGATAAAAATCGTAAGGCGTATGACCAGTGTAGTGTATTTCCACAGCTCTGCTCTCTGCACAGGCTGTGTGCAGTGCATTGATGATGTCACTGCTACATTTACAAGGTAATAACTTTGTTGCCAAGGCATTTGATGCATACAAAGTGGATTTTTATCTTTCGTGGTAGGGATCCCCGATACTGATACTAGTATCGGTGCCGATACCGAGTACTCGTACTTGCCCAAATGTTCTGATACTTACCACAATACTGGAACTTATGGTCATATAGAGACTTCCTCTGACCGGCAGTGCCGCAAGGAAACATGGAGCCGGCTTCCAGGACAATCAGGAAGCCGGGTTGCAAGTAATTACCTGCCTCCCGGCTTTCTAATTGTTCGGGAAGCCGGCTCCATGCTCCCGGCAGTACCATCAGTATTCGGCAGGATATCAGTACTCGTACTCGATACTGTAAAACTGGTATTGGTGCATTTCTACTTTGTGCCTATTAAGGGATATATTTCAATGAAAGTTTTTGTGCCCGGAGTACAGCTTTCAGCAGCTTTGCACAATGAATATTAACATCCAGTCGTCAAACAAAATACATTTTACTATTGCCAGATTTACTCTCTCTGCTGCCCCCAAGGCCAGGTTCCTCAATGCACCCCCCTCAATGTTGCTCTCTTGCCTCTGTATTTACACTGAGCAGAGCGGAGAATGGCTGTTCTCCGCTCTGCTTCCCGCTCTCTATCCTGAATGAATGTGCCATGGTCCCTGTTCCCCCAGAAGAGCGGGGGACCCTGAAAACCACGGCGGGGAGGGAGGCGGCCAGCTGGGAGAGGCAGCCAGCTGGGGGGGGGGCAGGCCATGGACTCTATCCCAAATGAATGTGCCATGGTCCCGGGTACCCTTAGAAGATCAGGGGACCTCAAAAACCAGGGCGGGCAGCGAGGAGAGGCAGCCAGGTGAGGTGGGGGTGGACCAAAGAGGGCAGGCAGTGGGGGGGATGGAGCTGCACGAGTAGTACAAGTGATCTTGGCAACATTGCAAGGATCACTTGTACTAAAACACTGGCTTCCCGCTCTACATTTAGCCCTGCTTGCCCGAAGCAGGGCTGAACGTAGGAAAAGACTACCCGCCCGACAGCTGTGCCACCCCTCTACTCCCTGCCGCCCTGAGGCCAGGCCTTGGTGGCCTTGTAGGAAATCCGTTACAGTCCATGTACCCATTGCACTCCTTACCGCTGATCCATAGTAATAGGTTGGGTGCATCAGTAGTCGATGGATGGCCACCGCCCGAATAGTATAAGCAATTATGGAAACCGGCACTCCAAAGTAGAATAACGTCTATTGACGTTCATGCAACAATACACTTATTGCAACGTTTCGGGGTCACACAGGATCCCCTTCATCAGGCAGAACCTCACGCTTGTTCTGCCTGATGAAGGGGATCCTGTGTGACCCCGAAACGTTGCAATAAGTGTATTGTTGCATGAACATCAATAAATAGACATTATTCTACTTTGGAGTGCCGGTGTCCATAATTGCTTGTGGGAAATCCGGCCCTGACTACGGCCATTTCTAATGCCCGGAACCCTTCACTTTAAAACACAACTCAGACTAAAGTGAACTTTTTGTAAATTGTTTGAACTAAAAATGTAATGGTTTTACTGGAAAGTGCTTAACCTATATCTGTTATTGAAGCAAGATGAATGACACAATAACAATCAATCATTACCATCATTGACTCACCAGAATTGTTAACCCCGTGGATACTATGTGAATCCTCCGAAGCTCCGCTGGATTCGCAATCCCAGGTGGATACTCAGCTTTTGAACTTTCGAGGTAAGTGGTACCCAAAAACAGCAGAATACAAAGTAACAAGGAAATCCCTATCACAAGCAGCAGCATGGCTTCCACTGTGGTGTGACTTTCAGGATCAGTGCCGCTGTTGTAACATTACACTTTGTGCTTCCTGGATCCACTCACAATGGCTGCCACCTTGCAGCTGTAGATGTGAACTGCAATAAGAAACAAACAACTCTTCCAATGCTCGTGCACGTGAGCAATTTTCTAGCAAATTCAACCGTTTTCAACCAACCTTTGATCACAAAAATAATAAAAAAAACAGTCAAAGCAATCTGACAACATCCCTGCCATATAAAAGTATCAGTCATTGCCCTTGGGTTGCCCTGCTCCTTTGACGTCTTTTGCATGTGGAAGTGGTTTGCATGGCTGGAAAGTTGGAAATGTAAAACACTGAGCGTCTCACAATGTGCATTAAAAGCTACAGTAAGTCAGATAGAGTCCATCTCATTTTCTGGCTAGAGGACGTCCAGAATCATCTAGCACTTTCCTCCGCAGCCTGACTGTGCCCGGCCCACCCCTTTCATTCATTGGATTTCGGTTCTTTCAATCACAGAGGCTCACCATCACATGTGCACATCACCTAGAGCGCTCTGCATGTAAATACAGCCTACCTAGGAACACCCACTCCTCCAGACTGACATCCACCCATCATAGCATTTTCATATTTACATAACCTTTCCCAAGAGCCAGCCCTCTGCTTGCATCAGAGCTCTAGGGACAAGTACCGAGGCAGGGTGCTGTGATGTTTTCAGGAAGCTATGTACAGCACCCTGCTGGTCCCTACATGGACGGTTAGGGTTACAGGGAGGGTTAGTGTTAGGATTACAGGGAGGGTAAGTGTTAGGATTACAGGGAGGGTTAGTGTTAGCGTTACAGGGAGGGCTAGTGTTAGGGTAAAGGAAGGGTCAGTGTTACAGGGAGAGTTAGTGTTAGGATTACAATGAGGGTTAGTGTTAGGGATACAGGGAGGGTTAGTGTTAGGGTTACAGGATGGGTTAGTGCTAGAGTTACAAGAAGAGTTAGTGTTAGTGTTACAGGGAGGGCTAATGTGTGGATTACAAAGAAGGTTAGTGTTAGGATTACAAGGAGGGTTAGTGTTAGGATTACAGGGAGGGTTAGCGTTAGGATTACAGGTAGGGTTAGGATTAAAGGAAGGGTTAGTGTTATGATTTTAAGGAGGGTTAGTGTTAGGATTACAAGGAGGGTTAGTGTTAGGGTTACAGGATGGGTTAGCGTTAGGACTACAGGATGGGTTAGTGTTAGGACTACAGGGTGGGTTAGTGTTAGGATTACAGGGATGGTTAGTAAGAGAGTAACAGGAATGGTTGGCATTACACAGAGAGCTAGCTTTAGAGTTATAAGAAGGGCTAGGGCTAAAAAGTGTTAGTGTGATGGGGGAATATTGTTGAAATTACAATAGGGGTTAATGTTGCAGTTACACAGTAGGAAGGGTTAGAGTTACAGGGAGGGTTAGGCATAGATGAACAATTAGTGTCAGAGTTATAAGGATATTACCTGAAGAGATGGAATTAGGCTACATTAGGTGTTAGGGTTACATGGAGGGTTGGTATGAGGGTTAGTCTTATAATTACAGATAGGGTAAGTGTTGGAGTACAGTTACAGTGAGGGTTAGTGGTAAGGTTAGGACTACAGGAAGCATCAGGTATAACTAGTCCATAGGGTCAGGCGTCCCTGTCTGCACCAGAAACTCCCACCTCTACAGCTAATGTAAGGCATTTAAAAGCACATTGAATGATTAATAGATGTGGAACTTCCTTTTTATTTCGTTTGCACCATTTCATGTTTACATTTATGTTCAGAACACAAGTATACATCAGGCATCCCTTATAAAGCTAACAAAACTGTCCACAGCCCGTTTCCCCGATTCACAATCCCACTGATCGCAAAAGCTGATGATTCCATGGAAGCCATCTTTAATATGGTGCCAAGTGACCGACACCCCATTGTCTTCCAGGCGTTTCTTGTAGAGTATGCCTTCATCGCGGAGAACGTCAAACTCACATGTTAAGATATAAGCTTTTGGTAGTAGGCGAAACACAGAGTCCTCAGCTACCAGCGGGGAGCACGGAGGTTCAAAAAGTTGCTTGACTTTTTCATAGACGTTTTTGTCAAAGGCAGACATGGTGTGTGGCTTGTACCCCGTGACCTTGAACTCATCTGGGATATTATCAGCACTTAGCCACTTAGAGAATTTCTTCCTCAGATCAGGAGGGACATGGCTACCATTTTGTACTTTTTTATGTAAGGTGGTCTGAACCCCTTCTCCTAGATAATTTAGCATGTAGAACAGGGCTTTGTCTATGAGTAAGAGAGGCACGCCGCTGTTTTGTTGGTAAGAAGGTAAGTTGAAGTCAATCATTTGGACCACGGGGTATATTAGCACCTGAGCCAGAGGTTTGGGAATATCTTTTCTTGTCACAAGAGCTTGCGCCACACCAGCCGTGAGGTTTCCACCTGCGCTGTCCCCACAGATTACAACAGAAGAGGGATTAACACCGTAATCCTGTGCAGTCTTCAGGAAGTAGATTGTAGCATTCAGGCAATCTTCAAATGCTGCGGGGTACAGGTGTTCTGGTGCAAGTCGATACCTAAAAGAAAATTTCGGGATTTATGACGGGTCTATAAAAAGAATTAACAAGTATTTAGATCAGGGGTAGGCAACCTTGGCACTCCAACTACAAATCATCCTCTGGGAGTCATGCCTGTGGTTGTCAGAGTCCTGCACTGCCTCATGGGACTTGTAGTTCCACAACAGCTGGAATGTCAAAGTTGTCTACCTTTGATTTAAATGTATTTTGAGCTGAAAAATAAGTAATTCACATCAGTTTTTAAAACCTTTCAAGTGAATCTAGCATAAGAAATCATTTTCATTTTATTGTATGCATGCTAAGTGTCAAACTTCCAGGTATTTTATTACCTCTTTTAGAGCTCATAGCACTCCCCAGACTTTGCCTTCGTCTGCTTTTTCTCTGCAGAAGGGCGGCATTAACTTTGTTCAGGCATCATGCAGGGTCAGCATTGCACTGCGATGCCAGCTCAGGTTAGGTTCCCACCTAGGCGACTGAGCTGGCGAGTGGTTTTCACGCTATTGTAATGCGTTTTCTTTTGCGAGACTGTTCTTTGAAAACCGTGCGGTTGTCGCACGGTTTTCAATGCATAGAGATGTCTATGGGACCCAAACCGCGCAACGACTGCACGAAAATCGCTCCTGTACCTTTTTGCCCGACAGACGATTTAGTCCGTGTGGGTGAACAGCCTCCATTAGGGTCGGTGCACACCTAGGCGACAGGTGTCGTCAATGTGTGAACCGATCGCACTGTGGGTGCCATTCTTTTCTAATGCACATAAGAATAGTACGGACAGCGCTCTCGGATTGGGCCGGGGGAATGGGATACTGTAGCTCTACCTCGCCTGCAGCCCTGGGAGACAGGAGGAGTGCCTGCACTTGTGGAACCAAAAAACAAACGTGAGGGCGCAAGGCTAGAGGGACTATGAAACTAATTAAAACAAAGTGAGGGAAGCAAGAAATTCCAGAATACTGGATTTCACACCAGGCTTACCGGCTCCTCCTGCCAACCCCTACAATACTACAGGACAGTACTGACATAGGGGGTCTAGGGGAGGAACCACTGAACACTGTGGGAGACCTGAAGATCTGAGCACCGTGAGGGACTAGGGTGGTGGGGAACCATCAGACCTGAGCACAGCCAGGAAGCAGGAGATCTGGGCATTGTAGGGGACCAGGAGATCTGGACACTGTGGGGACCATCAGACCTGAGCACTGCCAGGAACCAGGAGATCTGGGCATTGTAGGGGACCAGGAGATCTGAACACTGTGGGGGACCATCAGACCTGAGCACTGCCAGGAAGCAGGAGATCTGGGCATTGTCGGGGACCAGGAGATCTGAACACTGTGGGGGACCATCAGACCTGAGCACTGCCAGGAACCAGGAGATCTGGGCATTGTAAGGGACCAGGAGATCTGAACACTGTGGGGGACCATCAGATCTGGGCATTGCTAGGAGCCAGGAGATTTGAGCATGGCCAAGGAAATCTGAGCAGTGTGAGGGACCAAGAGATCTGAGTAGTGTGGGGGACCAGGAGATCTGAAGCACTGCCGGAGACCAGGAGATCTGTGTGTTGTGTTCCACTTCCTTCAGAGCTCTGAAGCAATGAAAATGTAAGCCGAAAAAAAATAGGAAGAGAGCCCGGTCATGTGACCTGTTAGGTAACTGGCCTCTGTGCCATTACATGCAGCATTTAGCAGAGAGAACTTCATGACACACCTCAGGCTCCACACCTTAGCCTGCATTTTATGAATGGACAGAAAAATTAAGGTCGCTTTGTGGGCTAACTTTGCAATGTATAACAAAGACTGGATAGTGGTATCAGCCCTTGGCTGAATACACTGCTTGATACCAGCATTGAAACGTGTGGCTCGGATTGATCGACCTGCCCTCAAGCATCGACGGCAGTGATAAAATCTTTTGAATGGATTAGTGAATCCTATGTATGTAAGATTGTTTGTGATCCCTCCGTCCGATGGATACATCAGCCATTCATGTGAAATCGAGTACATCTTAAAGCCCAAAATCTTCCGGTACAAAGAGTTATTGCTGACATAGATTTACAGTATCAATAGTGTGTCTCTGTGACTGACTTTCTATCAATCGGGTCTCGTGGTCCAGGAATCGACCTGCTAATCGATTCAATGAAATATTATTTACTGTATAGTTAGTGGTCTATTTTTGATTACCGGGATTGCCGGTGGATACCTGGATACATTCCTACTTGTTTCGACTTTATGCACTGTAGCGGATCTTGCACATGGGATCAAAGACATTAGCCCAGTACATTTATAATATTCCCCAAGGTGGACATTTTGGGTAATCCTTCAGGAGTGAGTGGATGCTAATGAATGATATGACAACGTTGTACATATTTAAGGTTTTTTGGGATGTGGTGCAATATATTTTAGTGCAATTACTGTGTCAATAAATTCATTTTAATTTTTCTACACATGGTCTGAAGTAACTTTCTGTGGTCAGCACACTTCTATGTGTGCGGACTTTCCTTTTTTTCTGGATAGTGGTATCTGCTCTCTGCTATAACTATTCCCCCTAAATGTCATTTATTTAGACTTTACATATACTTTAAAATGAGACTCAATGGTGCAGCTATAAGGGCACAGATAATACATTGTAACCAACAGGGGAAAATGACAGCTGGCATCTTAAACTGGACTCTCACCCATTACTTGCAGAGTTACTCAGACAGAACTCCATGACATGAAAAATGACAGAAGGCAACATTTTCTCTTTTGCTTACCAATATCTCCAACCTTGAAGCCTCCTCCATGAAAGAACATAACTCCTTTTCTGCCTCCGGCAGAGGACTCTCTGGGCTGGTAAACTCTCACAGGCACACCTTCAAATTTCAAGTTCTTCGTGAAGAGTTCCGGGTCATCTACTGATTTTATCGGATTCAGTTTTGCCAAAAGGCCTATAAGACCATCCTCAGACCAAACTCCAAGCTTTTCAATTGTCTTCCCCTAGTCAGTGGAAACGTCATTATAAACAAGTTAGAGGAAAGAATTGCTTTCTGGAGCTCCTGAATGCTATTCGGAAATTCGGACTCCATTCGGGTCTTGGAGCATCAGCTTTAGTAGTATGTTGTATATATAATTAGTATTCTGTAGCATTCAATTTTGTTTTTAAAGGAAATTCGGACGTAAACCCAAATTTCGGAGACGGAAATCCAGATTCGGACACATTTGGATGCATTAGGATTCGGAAATTCGGATGTGTCCGAATGTCCGAATTTTGGAGTTTTGATTTGATTTGCAAATGGCACATGTCTAACACACACTAATATTAGTTCAGATGAAACTGTCTTTCTGCTGGAAATGATTTTTCAGCTGGACCCAGACTTTGGCTCAGTTCCAATCTAGCTTTTTACATTTTTTTATGCTTTATGAACCTTTAAGTCCTCCCTGCCATAATTCCCATCTCTGTTCATGTCCATCTGAGAGTTTTGGGTGTTCCTGCCAACCTGTGAGTGTCCCATCTACTTTTATTACATTCTCCATGATATTAAAAAAAAAAAAAAATCCTAACAGGGACAGTCAGTGACTCTCCAAATGACCACATTTTGCAGACCCAGGAACCTCACCAGAAGAGTCCATAAGAGATATAAAAAAAAACTCTTCGGTGGTTTAATGTTTTGGCGTCCAAAACTGACATTGCTGATTTGGGAGGACAGGCACTTTTAAGATCACCATAGGGAACTCACCAGGACTGAAAAAACAGTCACAAGTCCATGGAGTTTTCGAAGCTCTGTGCGACATGCAATCCCTGTTGGAAATTCAGCTGTAGAGAATTCATGGTAAACAGTGCCCACAAAGAGCAGGGTGCAGAGCAAGAGGAAAACCCCTATCACAAGCAGCAACATTGTTCCCACTGTCCTTAGCTTTCAGGATCACTGTAGCTGTCCTCGACGCTGAACAGACAGTAAACTTTAGACTTTGTTTCCGGAATAATCCAAGAATGATCGCCACCTAGCAACTGTGCAAAAGTATTGCAAGTTATTCCCCCACTGCTATAGATTAAAGTAGAATTAAACACTTCTAGCAAGCAGTAGATATATGCAAAAACATTTAAAAAATGAAAAGGTTATCACAAAGGTAATTACTTACCTGTGTCAGTGCCGCTCGTTCCCGTCTGAAGATCTGGAGCTTCTTGAGCGGCCGAGCAGAAATTTTGTCTAATGTCACTTTGCAGAGGCATCCCGAGGCCGCCGTGTCATCAACGCACATGATTGACGCCTGCCGGTGGCCATCTTGGTGAAGGACGCCGGTAGAGAGAGGAGGGGACATTCACCCGGTGGGATGAGGTATGCCGCCGGGTCCCCTCCTCTCTCCTGACACTGTCGGGCTCTCAGTCCATGACCGAGTGCCTGACTTTTTAGAGGGGGTCACCCCTCCAATGGGGTCACCCGGGTGCGGGCCGCACCCCCTTGTGCCGCCACTGTCATTTTGCTGCAACGAATATTCGTCCAGAAACGGAAATTCGTACAGACTAACGCTAACGAATTTCTTCCGAAATTTTCATTATCAGAAATTTGGATTCATTTCCATTCATCATTTCTGTCATACGGAGATTCTGATATATCCGAATAACGAATCTTTCCGAAACGAATTGCACATGTCTACTTTCTTTCTCTCTTTCTTTCCTTCTGTCAGGTTTTTGTTTTGCCATCTGTGTCCCATTGGGGAGATGTCCCATTTCTTCCTATCCAATAGCCACAACAGCAAGTGAGAGGAGAGTACTCCAAAGAAAGGAAATCCCTGTCTGTCCCCATTGGTAGATTGGGTTTCAATTTTAACACAAGGACACAGCAAATACAATTGATGTCTATTTTCCACGTTCACATCAAACCATTGCATTGAGGAGAAATGTACTTGTGCTGCATTTTTATGTCAGTGCTCACCTAAGTCCGCATAAAACTGTGGCCGCCATGCTCTCCTCCCAAACCAATCAGTTGCGGGGAGACGCATTCTCCGTCCTGTAGCTATATGTAACAAAGGGACAGGGGATGCCCCCATCGCAACTGCCTCTACTGATTGGTTTGGGAGGAGGGGTGGTGGTCAGAGTGTTCAGCAGGCTTGGGTGAACACCAAGCCCACGCTTTTTTCTACATGTGACCAGTACAGCAGTCATTTTGGGAGGAATGTTTGAAAGAAAATGAAGTGATGTCAGAGGAAATATTAAGGAAAAAGAGAAAAAATGCAATTCAATGTGCGGCAAAATGCATTAAAAACACACATCAAAGCTCTTTAATGCACGCTAATGCATGCATTTTCATGTAAAGCGGAATTCCAGGACAAACAAATATTGCCTTAGTACAAGAGTCATGTGTATTCTTACTTGAATCTCGGTTACAGGGAGAGTGCATGTTGGGGTTACAGGGAGGAATACTGTTACATGGAGTGTTAGAGTTGCAGGGAGAGTTTAGTTAGTTAGGTTAGTGGTAAGGTCACAGGGAGAGCTAGAGATGACGTTACATGGAGGGTGAGTGTTAGTATTACAGGGAGGTTTAGGGTTAGGGTTATAGAAATGGTTAGAGTTACAAGGAGAGTTAGGATTAAAGTTATTGGAAAGGCTACTGGGATGGTTACTGTTACAGGAATGGTTAGGTTTAAAGATACAGGGAGAATTAGAGACACAGAGGGTTAGGATTACAGGAAGTGTTAGTGTTAAGGTTACATTAGGGGTTAAGATCACATGGAGGGTTGATATTAAGGTTAGTGTTATAATTATAAAAAGGGTTAGTGTTGGGGTACAGTGACAATGAGGGTTGGTGGCAGGTTTAGGGCTACAGGAAGCATCAGGTATAACTAGGTCCTTATTGTAGGGCATGTACTGTAAACTCCCACATCTGAAGCTAATGTAAGGCATTTAAAACCACACTGAATGATTCGTAGATGTTGAACTTCCTTTCTATTGGGTCATCATACCATTTTATTATACAGATGTTTACATTTATGTTCAGAACACAAGTATACATCAGGCATCCCTTATAAAGCTAACAAAACTGTCCACAGCCCGTTTCCCCGATTCACAATCCCACTGATCGCAAAAGCTGATGATTCCATGGAAGCCATCTTTAATATGGTGCCAAGTGACCGACACCCCATTGTCTTCCAGGCGTTTCTTGTAGAGTATGCTTTCATCGCGGAGAACGTCAAACTCACATGTTAAGATATAAGCTTTTGGTAGCAGGCGAAACACAGAGTCCTCAGCTACCAGCGGGGAGCACGGAGGTTCAAAAATCTGCTTGACTTTTTCATAGACGTTTTTGTCAAAGTCAGACATGGTGTGTGGCTTGTACCCCGTGACCTTGAACTCATCTGGGATATTATCAGCACTTAGCCACTTAGAGAATTTCTTCCTCAGATCAGGAGGGACATGGCTACCATTTTGTACTTTATTATGTAAGGTGGTCTGAACCCCTTCTCCTAGATAATTTAGCATGTAGAACAGGGCTTTGTCTATGAGTAAGAGAGGCACGCCGCTGTTTTGTTGGTAAGAAGGTAAGTTGAAGTCAATCATTTGGACCACGGGGTATATTAGCACCTGAGCCAGAGGTTTGGGAATATCTTTTCTTGTCACAAGAGCTTGCGCCACACCAGCCGTGAGGTTTCCACCTGCGCTGTCCCCACAGATTACAACAGAAGAGGGATTGACGCCGTAATCCTGTGCAGTCTTCAGGAAGTGGATTGTAGCATTCAGGCAATCTTCAAATGCTGCGGGGTACAGGTGCTTTGGTGCAAGTCGATACCTAAAAGAAAATGTCGGGATTTATGACGGGTCTAAAAAGGATTAACAGTCCTGCACTGCCTCATGGGACTTGTAGTTCCACAACAGCTGGAATGTCAAAGTTGTCTACCTTTGATTTAAATGTATTTTGAGCTGAAAAATAAGTAATTCACATCAGTTTTTAAAACCTTTCAAGTGAATCTAGCATAAGAAATCATTTTCATTTTATTGTATGCATGCTAAGTGTCAAACTTCCAGGTATTTTATTACCTCTTTTAGAGCTCATAGCACTCCCCAGACTTTGCCTTCGTCTGCTTTTTCTCTGCAGAAGGGCGGCATTAACTTTGTTCAGGCATCATGCAGGGTCAGCATTGCACTGCGATGCCAGCTCAGGTTAGGTTCCCACCTAGGCGACTGAGCTGGCGAGTGGTTTTCACGCGATTGTCATGCGTTTTCTTTTGCGAGACTGTTCTTTGAAAACCGCACGGTTTTCAATGCATAGAGATGTCTATGGGACCCAAACCGCGCAACGACTGCCCGAAAATCGCTCCTGTACCTTTTTGCCCAACAGACGATTTAGTCCGTGTGGGTGAACAGCCTCCATTAGGGTCGGTGCACACCTAGGCGACAGGTGTCATCAATGTGTGAACCGATCGCACTGTGGGTGCCATTATTTTCTAATGGCACCCCAGTCACGCCGGGCAGATCACGCGGTTTCCCGTCGCGATTTCGCCCGTGTTTCTGAACACAGCTTTTTTTCTCAAAAAAAAATGTACATGTACTTTTTTTCTGCGATTGCCGCGTGGATGTCACCCCATTGAAATCAATGGGGCCGCGCGGCAATAGCTGCCTGCATTGTGCAGGACTGTGCGATCCCGGATGGGGTCCTGCGCCGGGCCTAAACTTCAATGTGAATCTGTGTTTTGTGCGATATTGCACGACTCAAAACGTGCAATAAATCACCTAGCTGTGAACCTAGCCTTAGAGATTCCAAGTGTCTGACACACATCAGCCCTCGGCTCTCACCTTGTCATTTGCTACAAAGATACAATGTAGCAGCCACTGAGGAAAAGAAGACTGAGGAAATGCTTCCTTCTGCCTGCAGGAGACTGATGGCATCATTGCAATATAGGCAAAGTCATTCACTGGAGTGCAAGGACTGCTTTTAAAATCAAAAGGTAGAGTTTTGATGAAAAATTATACTGTTGCTTATGACATGTATTTATGCAGCCTTGTAAAGTCACTAAGAGGTTTACTTTGATCCTCTGGATCATGAAGGAAACAGTCATCCCAGAAATTCCTTTTCTTGCCTTCAGACTCCAGTTTAGGATGTTTCTAGATATGCTGGGAGATATAATTCCAATGTTCTGGCTCTGTCCCTGCGACCTCCTCTCAGTGGAAACTGCTTACTCATTTCCAGAGAACATCAGTCAGATGGTCAGATCACCTCACCTGGTGCATTTTGATTCTAAGGAAAAGTGGTTGTACCACCCAAGATACTCCACAACTGGGAAGCTCCTCACTTGATCCCTCCATCACAGAGAGTAAGTCTACCAATTCTGCTGCTCACACCTGAGGATTTTTATGACTGGTATAATTGCAACCATATAATAAAACTCACATTAAAGCAATTTGTACAAAATGTTCACATAATACTTCTTTGATGTGCCATATTTAATAGTATTGGGTGATTACAGGATTCATGTATTTAAATAGCAACAAGATTAGAGAGGAACCATAACTGCTTACCCAACTGACACCACCACCACCACTCCAGCCTTCTTTGATATTTGTCGGCAAAGTTTGTCGTAGAGATCTATAATAAATACATTTTAAAAAATGAGGGCATTGAGACAAGGTGTTGATATTGAATCTGTCATCATCCTTTCTGCTGGTGTAAATAAAAACAAAAAAAAGAGTAAATACTTACCTCCCTTGCCACCGGCCCCACCATTGTGATAAAGAGAAATTACCATCTGAAGTCTCTTCAGAAAATGAAATTCCAGAATACTGGATTTCACACCAGGCTTACCGACTCCTCCTGCCAACCCCTACAATACTACAGGACACAGTACTGACATAGGGGGTCTAGGGGAGGAACCACTGAACACTGTGGGAGACCTGAAGATCTGAGCACCGTGAGGGACTAGGGTGGTGGGGAACCATCAGACCTGAGCACAGCCAGGAAGCAGGAGATCTGGGCATTGTAGGGGACCAGGAGATCTGAACACTATGGGGGACCATCAGACCTGAGCACTGCCAGGAAGCAGGAGATCTGGGCACTGTAGGGGACCAGGAGATCTGAACACTGTGGGGGACCAGGAGATCTGAACACTGTGGGGGACCATCAGACCTGAGCACTGCCAGGAACCAGGAGATCTGGGCATTGTAAGGGACCAGGAGATCTGAACACTGTGGGGGACCATCAGATCTGGGCATTGCTAGGAGCCAGGAGATTTGAGCATGGCCAAGGAAATCTGAGCAGTGTGAGGGACCAAGAGATCTGAGTAGTGTGGGGGACCAGGAGATCTGAAGCACTGCCGGAGACCAGGAGATCTGTGTGTTGTGTTCCACTTCCTTCAGAGCTCTGAAGCAATGAAAATGTAAGCCGAAAAAAAATAGGAAGAGAGCCCGGTCATGTGACCTGTTAGGTAACTGACCTCTGTGCCATTACAAGCAGAGAGAACTTCATGACACATCTCAGGCTCCACACCTTAGCCTGCATTTTATGAATGGACAGAAAAATGAAGGCCACTTTGTGGGCTAACTTTGCAATGTATAAAAAAGACTGGATAGTGGTATCAGCCCTTGGCTGAATACACTGCTTGATACCAGCATTGAAACGTGTGGCTCGGATTGATCGACCTGCCCTCAAGCATCGACGGCAGTGATAAAATCTTTTGAATGGATTAGTGAATCCTATGTATGTAAGATTGTTTGTGATCCCTCCGTCCGATGGATACATCAGCCATTCATGTGAAATCGAGTACATCTTAAAGCCCAAAATCTTCCGGTACAAAGAGTTATTGCTGACATAGATTTACAGTATCAATAGTGTGTCTCTGTGACTGACTTTCTATCAATCGGGTCTCGTGGTCCAGGAATCGACCTGCTAATCGATTCAATGAAATATTATTTACTGTATAGTTAGTGGTCTATTTTTAATTACCGGGATTGCCGTTGGATACCTGGATACATTCCTACTTGTTTCGACTTTATGAACTGTAGCGGATCTTGTACATGGGATCAAAGACATTAGCCCAGTACAAGGTGGACATTTTTGGTAACCCTTCAGAAGTGAGTGGATGCTAATGAATGATATGACAACGTTGTAAATTTTTAAGGGTTTTTGGGATGTGGTGCAATATATTTGAGTGCAATTACTGTGTCAATAAATTAGTTTTCATTTTTCTACACATGGTCTGAAGTAACTTTCTGTGGTCAGCACACTTCTATGTGTGCGGACTTTCCTTTTTTTCTGGATAGTGGTATCAGGAACTCTGCCCCTGACTACATCTCCAACCTCATCTCAAAATATCACCCAAACAGCCCTCTCCGCTCCTCTCAAGAACTCCTGCTCTCTAGCTCTCTAATTACCTCCTCCCATGCTTGCCTCCAGGACTTCTCCAGAGTGTACCCCATCCCCTGGAACTCCTTACCCCAAATTGTCTGCCTATCTCCTTACGCTGCCCACCTTTAGGCGATCCTTAAAAAACCATCTGTTCAGGGAAGCCTATCTTATCCCACCATAACTGCCTTTTACTTCCTCCAATAACTCAATCTAAACAATTATTAGGTTTTGTATCACTTGCCCCTCCTACTAGATTGCAAGCTCTCACGAGCAGGGCCCTCCTAACCCTATTGTACTGAAACTGTATTGTATTGTAACTGTACTGTCTCCCCCATTTTGTAAAGCCCTGCACAAACTGTTGGCGCTATATGAATCCTGTATAATAATATTAAAGCTGAGGCTTCCAGACCTGAATGTCATTCGGGAGTCCGAATTTCCGAATAGCATTCAAGAGCTTGAGAAAGCAATTAGTGTCTGGGAGCCATATACATACATTAGGGATGCACCGATACCGGTATTTTGGTGCCGAGTATGAGTACCGATAATTTTTTCCAGTACTCGCTGATACCAATTACCAAGTACCGGAAGTCCCATTCAGGAAGCCAGGTGGCGTGTAATGACTCGCCACCTGGCTTCCTGATTAACAAGAAAGTCTGTCCCCTCTCACCTCAGCATGTCCAGCCTGTCACCCCCCGGGGCCTCTCCAGCCAGAAGCGGCCTTCCTCCGGTACCCAGCCGAAGCCCTCTTGCTGGCCAATCATGGAAGCCGGGCACCGTGTAATGACGCGGCGCCCTGCTTTCTGATTGGCCGGGAGACCGGCTCCATGCTCCCTCGTCATGAGATGATGAGGGAGCATGAAGCCGGCTTCCCGGGCCAATCAGAATGCCGGGCGCTGCGTCATTACACGGCCCCCGGCTTCCTGATTGGCCAGCTTTCCGACCAGTCAGGATTGGCCGGGAAGTCGGCTCCATACTCTCTCATCACAAGTGACGAGAGAGCATGGAGCTGCTTCCCGGCCAATCAGGAAACCGGGCAGCGTGTAATGATGTGCTGCCCGGCTTCCTGATACAGGAAGTATCGGGCTAGGCATCGGAGCATTTGCGCGAGTACGAGTACTTGCCCAAATACTCAGTATCGGCAACGATATCTATACTAGTATTGGCATCGGTGCATCCCTAACATACATAATATTAAAGGAGAACTATGGGGTCAGGGCTTTTCCCCATAGTTCTCCTTAGGGTAACGGGAGGACACAAATTAGCATCCTCCCGTTACCCTAAGCTCAGTATACCGCGAGCTACAGCTGTGTCGAGATCCGCCCAGCTGCGTGATTGACAGCTGGCTCTTCCTATCTAGAGGCAGAGCCAGCTGTACCCGCCCCCTCCCCCGTCCGTTCCGCCAGTCAGCGCTGGCGGATCGGAGCGGGGAATCCAGCCGCTCCCCTGTCACGGCAGACAGCCGTGACAGGATCGAGAGATGAGCGAACGCCGGTATATGTTCGCTCACCTCCCGATCTACTGAGCCGACCTGTGACAGTCTCATTGTCACAGGTCGGCTACAACTATGAAGTGAGTGAAAAGCACTCACCTCATAGTTCTCCTTTAAAGCTGAGGCTTCGGGTCTTGGAGCATCAGCTTTAGTAGTATGTTGTATATATAATTAGTATTCTGTAGCATTCAATTTTGTTTTTAACGGAAATTCGGATGTAAACCCAAATTTAGGAGACGGAAATTCAGATTCGGACACATTTGGATGCATTAGGATTTGGAAATTCGGATGTGTCCGAATGTCCGAATTTTGGAGTTTTGATTTGATTTGCAAATGGCACATGTCTAACACACACTAATATTAGTTCAGATGAAACTGTCTTTCTGCTGGAAATGATTTTTCAGCTGGACCCAGACTTTGGCTCAGTTCCAATCTAGCTTTTTACATTTTTTTATGCTTTATGAACCTTTAAGTCCTCCCTGCCATAATTCCCATCTCTGTTCATGTCCATCTGAGAGTTTTGGGTGTTCCTGCCAACCTGTGAGTGTCCCATCTACTTTTATTACATTCTCCATGATATTAAAAAAAAAAAAAAAATCCTAACAGGGACAGTCAGTGACTCTCCAAATGACCACATTTTGCAGACCCAGGAACCTCACCAGAAGAGTCCATAAGAGATATTTAAAAAAAACTCTTCGGTGGTTTAATGTTTTGGCGTTCAAAACTGAAATTGCTGATTTGGGAGGACAGGCACTTTTAAGATCACATTCACCATAGGGAACTCACCAGGACTGAAAAAACAGTCAGAAGTCCATGAAATCTTCGAAGCTCTGTGCGACATGCAATCCCTGGTGGAAATTCAGCTTTAGAGAATTCATGGTAAACAGCGCCCACAAAGAGCAGGGTGCAGAGCAAGAGGAAAGCCCCTATCACAAGCAGCAACATTGTTCCCACTGTCCTTAGCTTTCAGGATCACTGCAGCTGTCCTCATCGCTGAACAGACAATAAACTTTAGACTTTGTTCTGGAATAATCCAAGAATGATCGCCACCTAGCAACTGTGCAAAAGTATTGCAAGTTATTCCCCCACTGCTATAGATTAAAGTAGAATTAAACACTTCTAGCAAGCAGTAGATATATGCAAAAACATTTAAAAAAATGAAAAAGTTACCACAAAGGTCATTACTTACCTGTGTCAGTGCTGCTCGTTCCCGTCTGAAGATCTGGAGCTTCTTGAGCGGCCGAGCAGAATGATGGGACGGGCGCATGCGCAGAGATCATTGGCGGGGAGAAGAGGAGAAACTCAGTGGAGCTGAATGCATGCAGCCATGAGCGTGCACGTCGGACAGACACCATGGGACCCGAGGAGTGTGCTCTAGATAAGAGACCGGCACAGCACAGAAGGGATTGCTGAATACAAGTGGAAGGAAGAAGATGATCGGCTCAAGAGGCATCATTTAAGGTAAGTCCTTAAAGCAGCATGGGGGGGGGGGGATAATTGTGACTTTAATGTCATTTTAAGTGTTCTCTGTGATAGGCAAGGATCTCCATCCAGATTAGAGATGGGCTGCCGGTTCAAATCGAACGTAAGTTCGACTCGAACATTGCCTGGGACGTTCGCGGTCTGTTCGACTGCAAACACTAAAAAAAAAAAAATGCATATTTTTAAATTCTGTCTAATGTCACTTTGCAGGGGCATCCCGAGGCCGGGTGTCACCCCGCCGTGTCGTCAATGCACATGCGCGTGACGTCACCTC